TAACTTTACAAGAGAGTGTAGCGAAGATCTTTCAATTTTCAATTCTGTCTCCGAGATTGAAACTGTCAAAATGGATCAAGGTGTAAAGTCAATATTCGCCTAAATCAAATTAAGTATTTTAATTTTGATAGAACCAGTGTGATAGACCAGGACGGAGCCAATTTTGATAGACCAGGACGGACCCAATTTTTGACAGCGAAATTGCGGACTTGATTTTACGACTCGAACCAACGGACGTAAAAAGATTCGACGCGTTCCAAGATGGATTTGGCTCCCAATGGTTGAACGTCATCCCGTGCAAAAATTTAAGGTTAAAACTGTCGAACCAACAACTCAGAATTGCGATAGGACTTCGATTAGGCTCAAAAATATGCGAACGGCATAAATGCGTGTGCGGAAAAGACGTTACCGAGGATGGTTGGCATGGTCTTTCTTGCCTCAAAAGTGCAGGGAGATTCTCTAGGCATTCAAATCTGAATGCCCTTATAAAGCAGAGTTTATCTTCTACTCACATTCCGTCTGTTTTAGAACCACGACACCTCTTCAGGACCGATCAGAAGCGACCAGATGGTTTGACGCTCGTTCCATGGGTTTTTTGTAAGCAGCTCTTGTGGGATGTAAAAGTAGTAGACTCCTTAGCTCCTTGTAAGATTAATGCTGGGTCTGTTTGTAACCCTGGTACGGCTGCTGCCGCTGAAACGGAAGAGCAAAAAATTGACAAGTATAAAGATCTTGTAAATGATGGATATCTTTTTCAACCGCTGGCTTTTGATATTCAGGGCGCGGCCGGCCTCAACACAGAAATGTTTTTGAGCAAGCTTTGTAAGAACCTAAGCATATGCACTGAGGAACCCAGAGCAGGCAGCTTTTTAAAACAGAGAATCTCCCTGGCAATACAAATTGCGAACGCCGCTTGCGTACTCGGAACAATAAATGACAAAATAACTTTCGACGAAATTTTTTTTTTATATTTGTAACACTTGTATATTATTTTTTCTCGTGTTGAGTTGCGTGTTCTTATTGAAGAAACGTAACCCGTATCGATTTTAATTGAAAAGGACTTAAACACTTGTCATCTTCTTCTATCATTATCTTTTCCATATCTAGAAAATTCCAAGGATTTTGACTGGAATACGTGATGAAGGGACTCCTGAGTTTAACCTCGGTTACTATGATACTTTTGACCTTCTGATTACCCAAAAAAAGTGTGATTTTGAACACACAATTCAGTTCATTTCCTATATGAAAACTTAGAAAAATCATTATCAACCTTGCATCAACCTTGCATGTTATTGGGTTCAAATATATAGCCGCGGTCACCCGCAAGGACAGAAATGTCAAACCGATAGTCAACTTCGTTAAGAAACGTCACTGGTAAGCGTTGAAACTCGCATATAGAGCTATTGGTACAAGGTACGAAACCGACTACACGTCAAAGATGACTGGCTACTGAAAGACGACCGGATCATAATCCCACATGAATTGTGTCAAACCATCCTAGACAGTTTGCACTTAAATCATACGGGAGTGGCGGCAATGCTCGACTTGGGCGAAAAAGTCTGGTCCCCACTTTTACACCGCACAAAAGTCCAGATGGCCCAGAGATGCCGCCGACAGAAAAAGACAAAAATTACATCGGCAATATAAAAATTGCATTCATTCCATATGGAATCGGTGGTTGAACCAAATAAGGAAAATCAAATAGACTTTGCCGGATCCCTGTAAGTTTTTTAAAACAGAACGTACTACATGAAATTAAACTAAGATACCCGAACCTCAAGATACACCCAGTGGAGAAAAGAATAAAAGACTTATACTGCGGATTCACCAACGATACGATCAATATTTTGGGAAAAACAATTGTCAGAACACAGTCCATTGGGTGGATCAGCGAAGAAACCCCATTCTTCATAACCGGCGGACACGAGCAAAACATCTTGGGGAACGACAATTTACCCAAACTGGGCATAGAAATAACACAGAGGAAATGCCCTCAACGAATCTGCATGGTGAACCAACCCACACTCGAGAGTGAGTACAAAAACTTACCTTCTTTATCAGACAAAATCTTTAACGAGTTCAAAAACTTATTCACTAGAGTGGGGAAAATACCTAACGATCGAAAGGTAACCCATTTTCACACAACTTTTAAGCCAATACAGTCCAAAGGGAGAAGAGTTCCACTCCACTTACTCGCGGGAGTGAACGAAGAATTAAAAAAAATGGAAAAAGAAGGCCACATAATAAAATTAGAGAAATGCGACGAAGATTGTTTTATCAGCCCATTTGTAATCACTCGGAAAAAGGATACTTCAATAAAACTGGCACTTGACTCTAAGTTATTAAATGATCATATTTTTGAAAATAAGTATCAAATGCCAAACATCCATGAACTGATTGATAACGTGGCGCTCCAAATTTCAGAAAAATCCAACGGGCGAGTGTTGTTTAGTAATTTAGACCTAAAAAACGCCGATAGCTAACTCAAACTATGCGATCAAACAAGTAAATAGTGCAATTTTAGCATAGTAGGCGGTGAAACTACCGGAACGTATCGATTTTTAACGGGATTTTACGGATTGGGAGACATGCCCAATGAATTTCAACGGGTCCTGGACTCACTGTTGAAAAATATCCCGTTCACAAATTGTTACATAGACGACATCCTGGTAGCCTCTTGTGGATCCCTGGAAGAACACAAATCAATAGTGTATAAAATTTTATCAATATTAGATAAGAACAACATGGCAGTTAAATGGGGGAAATGCGCATTTTTTAAATCTGATATCGAATGGCTTGGCTTCAAGATCTCAGGCGATGGAGTACGACCGTTGGTCGGTAAAGCCGACGCAATAAAAAATTTGCCAACCCCAAAGAATATTTCTGAACTTCGTTCATTTTTCGGCTCGATAAACCAATACGTAAAATTCGTCCCTAATTTATCGACGTAAAGCTCCCCTTTTCGACCTCTTCTAAACAAAAAATCGGTATACAAATGGGGTACTAGCCATTCAATAGCGTTTGAGAAGTTAAAAGCGGAAATTGTAAATATTACAGAAAACATCCATTTCGATATAAAAGAGAAGACAAGACTGAAAACGGACGCTTCACAGAACGGACTAGGGGCAACCCTAGAACAATTACAGGACGACCAATGGAAAACAATCGCGTTTGCATCCACATTTTTAAATAACCATGAAATGAAATATTCTACCAACGGATTAGAGTTGCTGGGAGTCGTATGGGCTACAGAACATTTCAGAAACTACCTGTACGGAACGGAATTTCAAACAGTAACAGATCACAAAGCCTTACTATCCACAATTTGGGTAAATCATGGAAAGAAAACGATGCATAGCCGATTGACCCGTTGGGTAAACAGACTTTTACCATTCAATTTTAAAAATTCACATTTACCAGGAAAGGACATGGGTTTTACAGACCTTTTATCTAGACTTCCTTCGGGCAAAGCCCTTGAAATTTCCCATTATGACGACTAATTTGTAGTCGCTTCAATCGACAAAATTCAGAATATTTTATCGACTAAACAATATTCTAAAATAGTTACTGTAAATTCTGTAGATAGACCAGCGGTCGCTGTAAATACTAATACACGAGTTAATACAATCCCGTCGGAAAACAAAAATTCAAGCGACGTGATTGGTCAGAATTGATTGAATAGCTCTGTAGCTTTACTTAATCTCAAGATTATTGCTGCTATCATATCTTGTATCGCTCAGTCGATAAACGTTTGCCACAATAATCACTTTCGGACAGAAAATTGCACTACAATTTGCCAACCCGTCGTTAATTCGAAATTTAATTTTAAAAGTATTACCTTTTCGGACAAAATCCTTTTACATTTTTTATTAATAAACAGACACTTCATACATTCTAGCAACAAACAACCAGAACTCCCAATGGATAAAGTTAACGAACCCTTCTTGATCATTCCCGAAGAACATAATATCGCCCTCAAATTCAGAGACGACCGACTTCCACCCGACCACGCAGACCTCGTAAGAAGATATAAGGCCGACCTGAGTTTACCTAATTCCCCAATTCGCCCGGAAAACCACTGTTCGAAGAAATTGCTTCAGATCTTGACTAGAGAAGACAAGGTGCTGTGGGACTTGATAGAGACGATAAAGAGGAACCGACCTATGGGCATACACGGGACTTACATGAAGAACTACGCCAATGATCTTTACGTGAAGGATGAGCTACTCTTTTTAGACAATAAACTAGTCGTACCAGCTTCCATCAGGGGAACTTTTAATTCGATGCCACATGAGACTCATCCAGGATAGTTTGGAATGAAATCCCTCGCCGAATACTTGTGGTGGCCGCATATTTACCGGGAAATTTACCATCACGGGAGAACATGTAGCCAATGTGTAAAAGCGGGTAAGAACATTAAAGTGTTACTAGGCACCCATAATATTTCGAAACTCCCGACGTTGACATTCGCGAACGAAGAAATTAATTTGGATTTTGCGGGACCGTTGGACGCGTGCTGGGGTAACAACAAATACATCCTTCTTTGCATTGACCGTTACACAAAGTTTCCTTCGGCCAAGATTGTTAATAACACCTCTACAAGAAACGTAATTTCATTTTTAAACGATTACTGTCATCTTCACGGATTCCCAAGAAAAATTAGAATCGACCATGGGTCATGCTTCTTATCACATAATTTCAAAAACTTCTGCGATAAATTTAACATAGAAATTATTTACTGCACTGTCGGAGACCACAGATCCAATGGCCTAGTGGAAAGATTAGTGTACACAATTAAATTGAAATTACTGGCAATGTCCTTCGAATTACCGAAACCATCTCTAAACGATTCGATCGAGAAATTCATCTGGAATTTGAGAATCTCAAAACAATCTGCGATCGACTGTACTCCGTTTGAAAAGCATTTTAATAGAGTAGCGAACACTAGGTGGAAAAATCGTATGTCCAATATTGAACATTTAGATAAAGGGAAGGCTATAATGTCCAAAGAGCGGGCCACTAACTGGGAAGTACACGACGGGGCAGAAGATGGTTATATGGACGAGGAAAAGGACAGCACGTCGGACCCAGAAGAAAACATGCCACTAGCTAGGACTTCCAGCCTACACACAACCCCGGACGTCACTTTCCGAACTTCAGAACCGCTGGGAAAAAGAAAAGCAGTAATGGGAGATAACTTATATAGAAAGGTGTCTAACAGGAAAAATAGGGACCTATATTTTAATCTGGTTAAGAAGGATATCATCGATTCTTCAGAGCACACAGTTACTCTTGACAACGGTAACGTTTTACGTAAATCGGATCTGGCTATAAAAGGAAAAATACTCCCAGGGCCTAAAAAGATAATAGTGAATCAGACACCCACTGGGCATAATCTTCATACTTATTCGAGTTTAGCTGGGAAAAGGAAACTCTCTCCACCGAAGAAAGCTGGATCGACACCCGCTGGTCACTCGAGTCAAGGCACCCCAAGAACGGATAACACCAGAGCAGGGACTAGTGCACCGACCGCGAGCACTGCCACTCAAGACTCTCCAAGATTTTCTTCAGGTTCATCTTCCTTAAATCTAGATTCGTGGGACGGGATAATCGAGGATTACTTTGACGATGTGATCAATAATAACGTACCTCAAAACCCCCATACCGAGTCTAATCAGGGATTAAGTATTACAGGTCCTGTCGAATCTCCACAACAGAGCTCAGAAAGGCCAGCGAACAACGACCCCCGGGAGATTGTTGTCATCCACAATGCGACTACTACTGAAGGATCACAGGACAATCCAATTCTGGTAGACACTATTCCGGAACAGATGAACAGAGCGACCCCAAAGACCCGAAATTCTAGACCACGCAGAAATGTGGGCCCCCCACAGTTTTGCGGAAATCGCAGATTTATAGACGTGGTTCAAGAGAAAGACGACCTAGGGGCGTCAACTTCCATATTCTCTCCGGCACCGGACTCCCACAGGACTACCTTCTCGGTCAACTCTCCATCTGACCTTTTGACTCCCTTAGCGGAGGCGCCTCCCAGACAGATTCTCGTCGCGGAAACTACGTTGTCCTGTTCTTCAAGGAACTTCCTCACGACGGTCAGACTTGCAACCTCTACCACGAAGACTCACCTTCGCGAGAATTCTTCGGACTCAAACCTAACTTACCCGACCTCGAAGGACCCCACGCTTGAGGTGGACAACTATAGCGAGATCTCATCGACTATAGATTCGGAAGTGAGGGCTAAATTGGATGAGTTTGAGGATCAATTCATTTAATCGACATATCAATTTAAACTGAACAAAACAATTCTTTAATCCATATTTTACCGCCGGACTTTTTAATTTTACCTGTAGATACAATTGTACATGTTAATGTACATGTTGTGGATTAGTTTTTTTTAGTTAGTTACGGTATACTGTAAATTTTGTAATTCTGTATAGCCACCCTGTAAATTGCTACATTCTCTTTCAATTGTAGATTCTATTTTGCTTCTGTATATTTACCTTCTGGGTGCAGTTTGTAAAATTCTTTCATTTTCGGAGGGGGAAAAAGGGTGTATATAGAGTTATGTAGTTAGTTTGCAATTTCATTTTTTTCCCGGTGGGAAATGTTGTGATTTGTTTTTAGCATCTTAAAATGACCTTCGGTATTTTAATTAATACCTGTTAAACAGTTTAGTTACGACCATTGGTCGATATGAACGGAAGTTCAGGGGTCCTTTTTAACAATCTTAATTCAACTACTTCCTTTTATCGTTTTATCATTTTAAGCTTATGTATATAAATTGTACATAAAGAACCATAGAGTTAGAATAGTTTATTACTGCTTATCTCTCGACACGCGAGTACCCAAGAATGTGCTTGCCACGGAGATTTGAGACTACATTGCAGCACCCGATGCTCGCATAAGCTGAGGAAATCAAAGTTCCTGTCAGTACCTGTTGCTCCAGTTTTTGTTTTTCATTTTCTTTCTTGAAAAGAAAATCCTTTCTTCTTTGGATTCCGCAATTTCGTTTTTTGTTTTTTCAAGACTATGTTCGGAACATTCTGTGCTAATGGCAGAGTAAACAGATATTCCATTTTTTTTTGTTGATTGCAATGTTTTGAGAAAATATGAACCCAGAAGTTTTCTATAAAAATGAAAATCATGCCTTTTAGAGACGATCAGCACAACTGCTTGTCCTGAATGCGTCTTTTTTGTCAAAAAGCCATCAGATTCAATATTTTGCTGATAAATTATCTCACTTTGGGCAACAGACATGATAAAATGTGAACCTTAGTACTTGGGTGATCTATACAATCTACAAAATTAGTTAATATTTTTCTTAAAAGGGCACACCTCTCTCATAAATGTTTGGATTATTTTTTGGACAAGCGCTAGTAATTATAATAGATTAATTTTTATAGGATTTTTCAAAACCCTCTGATTACTTGTTTAATAACACCAAAAGAATTTTTTTTTGTCATTAAAACCAAATCTCCCAAAATCTGTGTTTATTCTAGACAACAACGCTGTTTATTTTAATACAATAGCAGTAGAATCAGTTGAACCTATGACCTGCAAGTGCATTATTTAACCCCATCTTTATATCTCTACAAAAAGGTTAAATTAAATAATGCATTTGTAAGTATATTTGATATAGGAACCAGAATAGCGGGTTGCTGTGCAAATACCACATATAGCTCCGTACTCGATGAAAATTGCATAAATTAGATGAGAAATAGAAAAAACATTTCCTTGTTTCAATAATTTATTTTGTTCTATTTTCGTAATAACAGCAAAAAATGCTTCAATTTTTGTAGTGAATTTTCTTTAAGTGAACGTTATTCATTAAATTGGAGTCAGATTTAAGCTTTTTTTTCTCGACTATGAAAAAAACTTCATTGATTTTGAGTTTTCATGTCAAAGTCACGACTGACAAGGCCTTAATATGATACTTTTCTGAGCCTAGTGGTACCTTGCTTAGTGGAAATGCGTTTCCTTACGCTAGTATTAGATCTCGTGACATCGATGGCAATGATAGTGCGTGCGGATGAGCTTTCACTTGACCTGGGGCTTGAGCTCTACCACTTCCTGACCAATTGTCACTGCAATCGTGTAGTATTACAACGAGAAAAAGTTGTAGAGTGGTAATTTGAACGCAATACAACAGCCGTGAGTCACAAAAAAGATCTCCACTCTCAGCAAAAAAAAAACAGTTTCTTTGGAGTAGGTGGTTATATAGTCGATTTTAGCTAAAATTGAATAAAGCGCGGAGGTTCAATGAAATAATATTAGATGAGGCTGGATAGGCTAGGTTGTTAATAATAATTTATTTGGTTCCTGTGAGAGGGATTGTTTTGTTCAGAGATGACTTGAGTAATGCCTCAAGTTTCCTGTATTGTGCTAATCCTGGTACTGAGTTGGCATGGTCTAATCAAAAGGAAGGTAACAGGATCCAAAGTTTATAAAAATTCGACGAAGGCCAGAACTAAAACAGTCGAGCACCATAGCTTGGTCTATCACAGAGTTTCAAAACTGAGTTTCATTCTTATTTTAACTATTTGATTTTCAGAGCATTTTTGTAATATTGGCTTAAGATCTCAACTAATAGATCTCAGTTTTGCTCTTGTTTCACTGCTTTCGGTTTAATATCAAAAGCCTTGAACCTTATTCTTCAACAAACATGATCTAATAAAGAAAGTTAACATTCTGACTTCTTTCTGTTCCGGCAATCAGCTCAAACCAAGTATGTCTCCCTTACCGTTTTCAGATCATCTCTTAATTCTCTACGCTTTATCCTGGGCCAAAATTCTTGAATGTTTGACTTTAGAAGATTTGGTGGTACAACCTCAAATTCATCCAAAGTGGACTTCTCAAATTTTCGCTCTTCCGGTAGAGCACCTTTACTATATCCCGCATTCATGGTTGAATTGTCGCAAAATCAATAATTACTATTGCCTGGTTGCTTATGAAACCGAATACGACAATTATCTTCCAGCCTTCACGCCTTTCCATAACAACTCATTTAATTATCTTCGTGATCAATTCAATTTGGAGTCAAACGTACACGAAGCTTGTACTCCAAAGTTAAGAGGAATTTATCGGCTTCATAATTCGTATTCGGATACTGGGGGTTGTTGTTATCGACAATGCTCCAGCTATTTTTACAAGGGTTATACAAAATCGATGCTGACAATTGATGAATATATTGAAAAACTGACAAATTACAAAGATGAAAACAAAAAATTGAATGCTATTTGGTCTTATTTCGAGCCATCATGTCGGGTTAATATTATAACTAAGCTCGGTTTCGGCACCGGTAGTTTGAAAAAGTACTCAACGTTGCCTGGGGATCAATTTTTTGCAGATAATTTTGCTTATCAGATGAAAATCGGCCTTGCCTGGAGTGAGCGAATACCCGCCAACAGCCTGAAGCGATTCCTTACTTATTCGTGGTTTAAGCAAAACGTCATTTGCAAAAGCCAACCATGGATTTGCATTACTTGGAGCTGAGATAAGCTATCTTTACGAATTTATGCAAAAACAAGCATACTGGCTCTTTTCTCCCAAATTTTATAATATGACCAGTGCTTTTACAAGGTAGAGACTGCATACTAATTGTTATTATACTCCAGCTTTCCAGCTTTAGTATGTCACATGTCAACTTTCCGTGTAACCGAACATGGCGTATGAATATTTGTTTACTAGTGTTTTCATTGATGGAAGAAAAAAAGCAAAAAAACCCATTATCCTAACTATCGCATTTAATAAGTGCATAAAAAATTGATGTTAAAATTGACATACATTAAGTTAGATGGCACATGATTGAGCGGTGTTGATTCAAGCTGTTCGGGCAGAACAAATTTAACTAGAAAATATGAATCGGTTTCGCTGAGATAGGAAAACCAAGTTTGTTTTAAAGAACTGCAAATAAACAGAAACGAAGTTATTTTCTTATCTAGTCCAAAATATTTACTGACGAATGAAATCTCAAATCCTATAACTTGTTTTTGAATCCGGAAGTGGATTTTGATGACTAAGCTCAGTTCTGGTATTGGTAGTTTGAAGGGTGACAGGTGGGTGTAGATAGGATGCAACTTCAGGTGACAGAAAATGTATTGGCTATCGAACAAAAACATAAATTGGTTTAAACCAGATATGGGAGATCGTAAAATTCCTTTTCTTAATTTTGTAAGACTATAAAAACTCAATTAGTCTAATTTTGTTTTAAAAAGCGCTGAAAAAGTCCCAGTTTTTGGTCAAAATTTTGGGTCAGATTTTCGTGTGTAAATTACACCATAATATATACGACAAATTATTCAGCAAATTTTGTTATTATTTCAATTGACGAAGAACACTTTTAAAATTGAAACCAGCACTATAAAGTGACACACAGCTTAGCTACCATTTGTGCTGTTTAAAACTAAAAACTGGTCTCGGGTCTATCTTTTTTCTGGCTCAAATGAAGCAACTGCTCATTAAATCCATATTTCAGAAAGCCCGCAGTTTCTTTAAGCAAAATTATAATTAATTAGAAGCGCACCTTGAGGTGTTAAGCGGATATATAATCCATTATAAAGATAAAAACTTTTGTGAGTTTTCATTAAATTTCTTTCAATTATACTTGATTTTAATTTTGTCGAAATTCACTTATAATCTCGTATAACCTATTATATTAGATCATAATCTCGTTTTCTATCAAATTTTTATCTTAAAAAAGCAATCAATTATAATGTATTATTTATTAGCTATTCTGCGTGAAAGCACAGTAAATATCAAAATTAATTGAATTTTTGGCTATAAGTACAAAAATGCAGTTTTCATAGATCATCAGTTCCCCTTTTTCATCAAAGAAGTGAAGGCACTTGAGATGCACAGTCAGGTGACAGGTGAGTTTAGATAGGATGCACCTTCAGGTGACAGGTGGGTGTATGTAGGATGCAGCTTCAGGCGATAGGTGGTTGTAGTTAGGATGCACCTTCAGGTGACAGATGGGTGTAGGTAGGATGCGCCTTCAGATAAAATGCGCCTTCAGGTGACTGGTGGTTGTAAGTAGAATGCAACTTCAGACAACAGGTGGGTGTAGGTAGGATGCACCTTCAGATGACAGGTGGGTGTAGGTAGGATATTCAGACACCCACAGGGGCACACAGAGGGACACATTTTCAGACAATCACATTGCTACTCGTAAGGATACAAATTCAGAAAACACACATAGGCACCAATATTAAGACACTCACAGGGTCTCACT